TGGGGTATGAGGCGAGACTGAGGGAGCTGGGTCTCTTCAGCCTGGAGAAGAGGAGACTCAGAGGGGATCTGTTGGCGACATACAGGTATGTGAGGGGATGTCACACGGAGGTGGGCAGAGACTTGTTCTCCCCTGCAGAGGAAGGCAGGACGCGCTCCAACGGAGCAAAGCTCAGGGAGCCAAGGTTCCATTTGGATGCCAGGAAGCACTTCCTGACAGTCAGGACCCCAAGGGTGTGGAATGGGCTTCCACGAGAGGTCGTTGAGGCCCTATCGGTGCGGGTGTTCAAGGATAGGCTGGACATCCACATGGTGGGCATATCGTGAGCAGAGCCAGCTGGTGCTGAAGGTCAGACTAGATGGCCCAGGAGACCCCTTCTGACTCGCTCTGTTTCTATGTTTAATAGCTTTGCTCCTGGTACTGATATTGGACATAAACTTAGTATTTACCTGCTGACCTGCTACATTTTCATGCTTCTACAGTATGGAAATCACAGAAGAGAAAAGAAATAAAGAATCTCCTGTAGGAGATCCAAGAAAACTCCATCCGCATGATGTAACTACCATAGAGGAGACTCCAGCAGGAACTGGCACTGCAAATATAAGAGAAACATTGCCAAGATTGAACAGAAGGCCTGGGATTGACCAGAACAGCCTGTCCTTGTTTTCCACTAAAATTTCAGGGCATAGCAGAAACAGAGAGAGAGATTCACAGCAACAAATAAATACAATTAAAAATTACTTTCCAACAGCTACTAAGAAAAGGTACATTTACATAAGCCTCTCTTATCTGAGTATATGCCAGCCAAATGTTGTTCTTTAATTTTTAGTTTTGGGATAAGAAAACTGTAAGGATATATCATTGCTTTATAGGCTATTTCTGTAATGGTGAACTTAGCTCTCAAAGATCTAGTGTTCCTCAGTAATTGAAAATATGGAAAATCTTCATTTCTAATTGATCTTGATAACATATGAGCTCCCAAAATTTTGCCCAGATAATGTACTCTCCATCTTAACCCTATAGCATCTTAATTAAATTATGATCAAGTGCAGCTCCCTGCAAGTTTGCTGAATAAACAAGTTTTCTGTTGATTCTACATAGTTCAGCCATCATGAAAAAAGCACTTTGAAATTATAGAAACTGGCATTCATAATTAAACGCTGATCACATTTTATATCTAGTACCATTTGTTTCATTTGAGTGTAACCAGTGAGTTAGATCCAGACTAAGGGTTTCTTTACATGAGGATTTACTGAGGCTGCTGTGGGAGGTAGAGTGCTTCTTTTACACTTGTTCCTTTTTTCTGGGGATTTTCTTTCTCTGCAATTGTGACAAATACATGACCATTTATGCTTCCTAGCAAGACCAGAAATGGCTGATTTACCTCACAAAATGGATAGAAAACGTGGGCGTGGGGCTGGAGATTGATGCCATTGAGTGAGGATTCATAAGTGCACATTAAAATGCCTCATGTAGAAAAACCTTAAGTCATAACCAACTTGTCCCTTTGATTCAGTGGACTTAAAACATGTTTTAATTTGCATGCACCTGAGAGTATCTGGATTCATATTCAGTTATTAACCATGGAAACAAACGTACAAGGGTTTGTGATCAATTTTTCTAAGGAGAAACATGCATTTTTTTCTGTTCTAAGAGAAAGGAATGAGGATGGAGAAGCATCAGTATCTAAATATGCAAAGACAGAGGAGAGGCCAACCCAGGTTTTCAGTCATACTCAACCTATAGCATCCTTGCTGTGGGAAAACAATGCTGTAGAAGGATCTCAAAAAGGACAGTGTGTCTTAGACCAGAAGACAAATGAGTCATATATAGACACAAGTAGAAAGTCTGAAATAGAGACTAGAAAAAATGAAAAAACTGCTGCTGAAAGTATGTCTGATGGAAAGTCTTCAAACAAAAAAAGAAAAGAACTGGATGACTTAGAAGATGAAGCTTCATTGGAACTTGTCTTTGCGAGCCGGGAACTGGACTGGAAAGAGTGTCTAGGAAGTGATGGAGAAGAAAGTGTTCAGAATGCAAAGAAGAAAAGAAAACTAGAAAATAAAGGTGGACCTTCAGGAGACATGGAAACACAGGGGATTTTGGTAAGTCTTTCTTTCCTGTCAGATATACATGTCCTTCAAATTGCAACAGAACTATATGCATTCAGAACCATATGGTTCAGCACCTCACAATTTGAAGCTATTACTGTAAAATCAAAGTAATAATGTTGAATTGATACCAAGGATGGAAAGAAGCATTGGTTAACATTTACCATTTTATGCAAGGGCAATGACATGAATACACATTTTTTCAAACTTAGATTTCAGAGGTTGGGCTTTATAGAGTTGCTATCCAGATCTGTGTTTAAAAAAAGGCTGCACTCACACTTATTGATAAGTCATGTTTATAAGTCAGCTAGATGAGTTAAAAATCTTTTGTGTGGTTTAAAAAAGTTATCCTGGTAAATCAAGTGGTAGATTTTTAAAAAATGCTTTTAATACATGCATGTAAAACAACTACCTATCTGTGGCATGTGTATTCTCAGAAGAGTTGTACCTTCTTTTTCAGAGAGGAGACCTTGTTTGAGTAGGCGCATGCTATGGTACAAGTGTTGGCCACCTAAGTACAAGATAACTTTTCTACATTATACAAATTAAGTTGATCGCAAATTTCTATGACTAAAATATCTGTAATTGTTTGACAGTCGGGGTTTAAAAAGGGACGAGGAGAGCCAAACCTACTTGAATAAAGGAAGGGGTTCATACCATTCAGGTTTAAACAGTCGAATGGATTGCATGGATGTCATTTTTACAGGACCAGTTCATTGGTGTATTAAAAAATAATCCTGGTGCTCCTTGGAACTGTCTGGATGGCCATGGGAGAATTTCATAGAGTGCTTTTCCTTTGCCCTTACAACTGGCATGAAAAGAACTGGTTCTGAGGTCATGAGAGTGACATCAGAGAGAGTTTTCCAAGGGAGGGAAGGAGGAAGTCTCTGCCAGCATATGTTGTATTCTGGCAGAGCAAAGTTCAGTCCTTAGCCAAAATAAAGCAGAAGGAAAGGTAGATTCAATCTTCTTCGTCGTGGCCTCTGTGCATCACACATATGGGTTCTGCGCCTGCGCAGTGCCTTTGGCCGGAAGATTAACAGCTAAGGGTTTTGGTGGAAAACTCCGCTCCCCCTCCCCCCTAGTATTATATAAGGAGCTGAGTATCTGCCATTTTCCAGTCTTTGCGACCGTCGTTCTTTGTGCCTCGTGCAGCTTCGTTCTCACTTAGATCGTTACTTACCTCTCTTGCTTGTTGAAAAATTTCTCCTTTTCTTACCAAGTTAGTATTCCCTTGTTCGTGTTACTGTTAACAGTGTTTACTGTTAATATTTCACTTAGTTCTTTGCTTTCTCACTTCTCTCTCTCGTTCCTAAAAAATAACAAAACAAAACAAAAAATTATTCTCCCGCTTTACTATCTCCTTCCTTTCTTTTTCTACGATGGTGCAACGGGCGGCTTTCTGCAAGTGCTGGAAGTGTGGCTCTAAAATGCCCACTGCGGATCCGCATGATCTGTGCCTCCTTTGCCTGGGGGAAGGGCACAGGACAGATAAATGCGGCTACTGCTTGACCTTCTCCAAACAGGTGAAGAATCGGGAGAAACGCCTCCGCAAACTCTTGTGGGACCAGGCTCTCCTCCAATCAGACCGGCTGGTGACTAAGCCTCCCACAAATGTGGCTCCACCCGAAGGCTGTCCAACTTCGGCCGATCTGCTGCAGCACCCGGCCTCTTCTTCCATTGCGCCGCCCTCACGCCCTTCTGACGAAGGTGCTTCTAGTATGGCCGATCAGCCTTTTTCCCTACCAAGGAAACAAAAGGAGAAGAGGAAGCACAGTGACCCGGAAAAGCAGCCTGTGCATAAGAAGGCCAAAAAAGATAAGGCTGGCAAGCCGGTTAAGAAACCGAGGAATCCCGAGCATACAAAACATCGGCACTCAGGTTCGGTGACCTCCTCGATTCTGACTCCAGTCACGGAACCGACCCACTCGGTCCCGACTATCCAGGTGGCTATGAGGTCATTCCACCAGGCTCACCACGCCGACCGGCATCCGAACTACTTCAGGACCCACGGCATGGTTCGATCTCGGATGGCGAAATAAGGGATTCACCACAGAGGGCTAGGTCTCCAACACCAATGCTGCCCGTCCCTCTGGATACCGACATCACCATCTCTCCTCCGAGAAGCCGTAGGAGCCACTCTTCGGATGCCAGATCCGATGACTGGTACCAATCCCGATACTCCTCCCCTCCGAGACGGGAAGAGTACCAATCCATGAGCTATTATCTGGTACCCAGAGGATGATCTTTGCTGCCAGCTCCTCGGGATCATTTTCATTCTACACCCAGAGACGCTCCGAGGGCTCCATCTAGAGAGAGCGGCAGATCGGGGTCACCAGGAGATTTCTCTTCCAGTGCCCCACCTCCTTACTGGATGGAATCGGACGAATCCGAGGTTGACTTGACTTCGCCAGATGCAGCGGTTACTTCGCAAGGCCTGGGGTCACCTGAACAGCCGCACATCTCGTTCGCTGAGCTAATGTCCAGGCTGGTGAAGTCGCTCGACATCGAAGCCCACCAACAACCGGGACCGAGTACCGACCGTTTTTATGATGTGGTCAGGGGCGAACCATCCACCTCCATCGCCTTACCGTTTATAACAACTCTACAGCAAGCGATGACTCAAGCATGGGACCTCCCGGCCCATCCACAACCGACTTCACGTAAATATGAGTCCATGTACCGGGTTCTGGAGGGGGACATTCCGTTCCTCCTCCGCCACCCCAAGCCGAACTTGGTTGTTGTGGAGTCTTCTCAGGGCCGGGAAGCATGTGGACACACCTCTCCTCGCGATAAGGAGGGAAGAAAAGTTGACTCCCTCGCGCGCCGGGTATACATGGCTTCTGGCCTCAGATTACGAATTTCAAATTACGAGGCGACCTTGGCACACTATCAGTATTTCCTCATGCACCGCCTAGACAGTATCATTGCCGCCTTCCCAGACAACCAGGGTGAACTGGCGAAAACCTTTGTTAAGGAAGCTAAGCAAGTGGCAGTGCAACAACTTTCTACAGCTTGTTTGTTGAACAAACAAGGGGGAATTTGGTCCCCGAAACTAGCCCGCCTGTCGATGCAAATTTGGGAGTGGTGCATACCGAGAGGAATCACTCTTCTAGCAGTACATCTTGCGGGCACGGACAATGTAGAAGCAGATCTCTTGAGCAGACATATGTCGCGGTCACACGAATGGGAACTGGGCTGTCGGATTCGTGACAGACTGTTTCACCTCTGGGGTCCCCCAGACATAGACCTGTTTGCCACCCGACAGAACAGGGTGTGCGTGAACTATTGCTCCAGAGTGGGAATAGGAAAGGGGTCGTCCGGGGACGCTTTCATGATTCCCTGGAACGACATGACCTTTTACGCATTCCCACCAATTCCCCTCATCGTGAGAGTGCTGGCGAAGATTATTCACGAAGGGGCCACAGGGTTACTGATAACCCCCTGGTAGCCACGCCAGCCATGGTTCTCAACTCTCCTTCATATCTCTCAGGAGGATTTTCTTTAACTCCCTCTTCTTCCCTATCTCATTACCCAGAGGGAAGGCACGATCCGACACCTGGACCTGTTGTCGCTGAAACTAACTGCCTGGCGAATCCGATAACCGTACGTGCTGCACCTCTGTCGACGCCACCTGCAATCCCTACTACCTCTGCCTCACAAACCTTACATCCAGATCTGCAATATATTCTCGACTCTGCATTAAGACCATCCACTAGAAAGTCGTATGCAGCGAAATGGCGTAGATTCTCTAGCTTTGCCGAAGCTCACTCATTTCCAGCGTCATCTGAATCGGTAGAGCAGATTCTTCAATTCCTTTTCGAATTGCACCAGTCTGGACTTAAATCTTCTTCCATAAAAGTATATACAGCAGCAATTTCTTATTACCGTGGAGCTGTGCAAGGTTTCTCTATTTTTTCTCAACCTTTGATTAAAAGATTTTTGAAAGGACTTTGTAACCTCCATCCAACAATCAGACCGCTGATGCCCACTTGGAGTCTCTCAGTAGTTTTATAGGCACTGACACGACCCCCTTTTGAGCCTATGGCGACAATTGATCTACGCCTTGTCTCCTGGAAGACTGCTTTCCTCGTAGCAGTTACTTCAGCCTGTAGATCTTCTGATCTTTGTGCCCTTAGGGTAGACACTCCTTTTCTGAATTTTCATAAGGAAAAGGTAGTTCTACAGCTAGACCCGTCCTTTCTTCCTAAGGTCACTACTTCGTTCCACATGGATCAAGAGATCGTTTTACCGGCATTCTTTCCGGCTCCTTCGAATCGATAGAGAGGTCCCTGCATATGCTGGATGTTCGTTGTTGCCTAGCTTTTTATAGGTCCAGGACTGAGTCTGTTCAGCACTCTAACAGTCTTTTTGTTAAATACTCGGAGCATAACCGGGGCTATCTGGTCACTTCCCAAAGACTTTCTAAATGGATAGTAAATATAATTGCTCTGTCTTACCAGTTAGCTAAATTGGACTTACCATCTACTCCAAGAGGTCACTCTACTAGGGCTGTTGCTGCTTCCTCAGCCTTTGCATCGGGAGTCCCGATGGAAGACTTCTGCAGAGCCGTACCTTTGCCAGACACTATAGACTAGATGTTCGTGCCAGACGAGATTGCTCTTTTGGCAGGGCTGTTCTTTCTTCTATTCATTGATGAAACCTCCCTCCTCCAGTTCGGGTAAGCTTGTTATTCTACCCATATGTGTGATGCACAGAGACCACAACGAAGAAGAGCAGGTTGCTTACTTGTAACTGATGTTCTTTGAGTGGCCATCTGTGCAGTCGCACAACCCACCCACCAACCCCGCTTGGTGTCATGGGTGGTCCGACTTTCTTCTCTTCGCTGCTAGGATCTCTCCAGCTATTTGTTGTACCACTGAAGTTTTTAGGTTTTTTTTTCCATACTGACAATAACTTTATTAAGGGAGCGAACGTCTGGTCTTTCAAAGACTGGAAAATAAAGGATACTCTGCTCCTTATATAGCACTAGGGGGGAGGGGGAATGGAATTTCCCGCCAAAACCATTAGCTGTTGATCTTCCGGCCAAAGGCACTGCGCAGGCGTAGAACCCCTATGTGTGACTGCACAGATGGCCACTCGAAGAACATCAGCTACAGGTAAGCAACCTGCTCTCTTCTAGCCATATAATCCTACTGCAGTGCTTTGTGATTATATTTTACACACTTCAGCACGTCTCCCAACTCTTTTTTTAAGCAGAAAGAAAATGAACAGTCCCTTCCAGCTTTAAGCCAGAAACAAGTTATAAAACAAGAACCACCAGAATCTGTAAGAAATTATTTTAAAGTATGAAATAACCTTCACACTGATATCAAAGTATATCTAATTTTAGCAAAGGGTGATCTAGAAGGAGATACATTCTTTTAAATTGTCAGTCAGATATCAAGGGATCATTGAGAGGGGATTTGATTACTGAAAACATAGTTTCTAGTAACTCTAAAGAAAACACTGCAACTAATTTATTATTAGTATAATTGATTTTCATTTTTCTCTCTTGTAGTTACTGACACAAATTATGAAAATATAATTATGTTAGATTGAGAAGCAGTATCATGGAAATAGATCCATTTTTTTATATTTAATCAGAGAGACAGCCACAAAAGAATTTAAATAAATGGGGCTGTTGTCATCCCTAAAGGAGATGAATCTTTTGAAGCCATAAGATGAAATAATTAATGCAAATGTTTCATCGTTCATGAAATGGCTTTCTGTGTTTTATCTTTTATTGAAAACATAATTAGATACAATATTTTGGAAATGTCATAGAATATACTGTCTGAAAATAGATGATTAATGCCATCTTGAAGTTGAGTCCATGTGACCCTGTTGTAACAGTTTTGTTAGAAAGATATCAGTAATTGTGTTCTTATTCTTTTTCCCCTCCTGGATAAGAATCACAATAAATCTGCAACTGACTCTAGCAATCTACCCAGCAGACTTTTGCTGACTGAATTTAGATCTTTGATTGTTAGTCGACCAAGGAAAGATGATCGCTGTGTTGCTAAAACAAACCATGGGCATCTGAACAACTTTAAAAAATTTAAAAAGGTTGGTATGTGATTTCAGCTGTTAAGAAAATGCATTGTTTGGAATGCAAATAAACTATTGAAATGTTTGCTAAATCAGGCATTCTTCCAGATGTACTTAAATTTGCAGATTTACAGTACAGCCTTCAATTCCAGGAGGAGCTATGATAGTCTGGTTCACCAGAACCACAGTGTCTTGTGGCACCTTAAGTCCCTTAAAATGATCTCTGTTGATTTTAGTAGAACCTCAGTAATACAAGTACTAGATTGATATGCCAACCAGGATAATCATTGTTCTGCTGCTTAAGGACAGTGGGACTGTCTTTAATTCATTGTAGAATTTAGCAGGAATGTGCAAGGATAAATGAATAATTTGGATGAGGAGAGAAATAAAAAGTAGAATCAGTTTTTACCATCTATTCACCCCTTTCTGCAACCATCAAGGGCCAGTTTGTTTTTATGTACTTAATTTTTGTGCCACAACAATATTTTGCACCTTCACACTGTGAAATACCTTGTGCATATCAAATGGTAGCAGTTCCAGTTACATTCATTTGAATTCCAGGTTGTAACCCAACCCAATGTGGAAAAGTCAAAGGGGGCTGCAAGGCACTGTAAATCTGTTCTGAAGATCAAAGCCAGACTCCAGTAAGGGCAGACTTCAGTATGTTGATAAGCTTTTGATGTTGATGCTTCTCAAACACTTGAAGCATACTGATCCTCTCTAGAGGCTTGAGGCCCTCTCCTTAACAGTGGAGGCTATGTCATGATTCTTCAGTGTGAGGAGAGCATAGCCCACTTGAGTTTTAGGTGAGGGGGCTGATTCCCTGGAGAGAGTTGGAGGGAGGAGGGGAAGGGAGAGTAGTGACACAAGCTGTGTTTCACTTATGTAACTTTGGATGCAGTCGAACAGGTGCTTGTTCTCAAAAGATAAATACTGTGTTTGACAGGTGGCTTATCCTGGAGCAGGACAGCTTCCACACATTATTGGTGGATCAGATCTGATAGCTCATAATGCTAGAAAAAACACAGAACTAGAAGAATGGCTGAAACAAGAAATGGAGGTAAAGGACACTAACAATTATTAAAGCAACTATTATGTTTGTCTGTGCAACATGTAGTTTTGTGGGTGGGGGGAATGTTTTGCTAGTACAAAAATGAGTTTATGTATTTTATGCACCTTGTCACTAGCAATAGCTTTTGAGTTGCTCAGTTTATTTTCCATTGGCTCAGTTCAGATCACATGGCATGCAAACGATGGTTGGAACCTTCACTTGTATACTCCCTCCTCCCTTTCCCTTCTCTTTTATGTGCAAGCATATTGCAAATTTTATTAGCAGGAGTGTCACATTGGGTGCTGTCCCCTGGTTTGCCACAAATTTATTATTACCTGCCCTCTGGCATAAATGAACATAGAATGGGAAGGATGTGTTGTTCATTCTCTTGAAGATAAAACATTTTGGTTTGTCACCATGGCTCAGCGCAGGTTTCTGTTGTGTATATATAATTATTGGCTGATCATTTTTAAAACTTTGTTCATCCTGAATTTAAAATGTTTGCAGGTGTGGGTGTATATATCTGAATATTTTATCCTGTGGTTCCAGAGTTCTACCATGACATTGAAACAGGAAAATAATAGGAAAAAGAAGACCTTAATTCTAGGATGTTGAACATGAAGTTACCAGAATTCTAAGAACCCCTAACATATTTTTAATATTGTTGTCTTGTTTTGCTATAAGACAAGGAGATACTTTAGTAGAAGCTTATATGGGATGAGATAGGGAATTGCCCTTGTACAAGAATTCTAGTGCTTGCACAGCACTGGAATATCACTTGCTTGAGTGAATACGTTTATTTTGTGTTGCTATGATAGAAGTTCTTAAAGAAATGTTTTATTTTTCTAGGAACAGAATCGCTATGCAAGAGAAGAATCACTTGCAGATGACCTCTTCAGGTGAGGAATCTATTTTCAGTAATAGTTTCAATGGCCTTGTAGTGAATATGATCATTCATCAGAATTCTTAGGTAGGTTTTGGTGTAACTGCACGGTCTTACCTACACCATTAAAAACTACAGGAGTGGCATAAGCAACTTTATAATATATAACTAAATACACCAGATGTATAGCTTGACCCCTCAGACGAGAACATTTGCTGTAAGATACCAGGACAGGGAGAATTTTTCCTGCCCTATCCAGTGCTTCTGGAAAGAATGCACCAAGTTCTTTTTCTAGTCATTATTTATTTATTTATTTATTTAGAAAATTTCTATGCCTCCCCATTCGCTGAAGCCTCGGGGCAGCTCACAAAACATTAAAATATAATACATTAAAAATACAAAACAAATTACAATATAAAATAAGTCGCCCTGGCCAAAGAATAAAATAAGGAAATAATATTAGCTATTAAAATGACGTTTGAATAAAAAGGTTTGTCACCTTATTTTTTGCTGCCACTTACACATGCTCCTAATGCTGGGATGCTGTGTGCAGTAAGCCTCTAGCCACGTGGTGGACACTCTTCAAATCTGTAGAAACAGTGCATGTTGTCATGCTAACTATGCTGTATGATGATAGAACTCATTTTGTACAGTGTGTATTAAGGCAATCCGTCTCAACTGAATTTTTGTGATCTTTCACCCTGAATTGTACACAAGCAATGGATGCATGACTCTGTTTGGAGAAAGTGATGTCAAGACAATTTGATCAGTAACAAACCATCTCTGTTGCCTTCAGTATGAGATATGAGTTGAAATGCTTTAGGGTGACATAAAAGTGTATAACCCAGTTAGAACCTTTTGGTTTTTGGTTTGCTAGTATGTAAAGGTACAAATGTAGTTTTCATAATATGTGTTAGAATGGTAAGTGGATCTTCATTAGCTGCTTGCTTTTCTTAGCGATATGTTCCTTCTGGGTTACTATATATAATTAATTAACTGGCAACGCATGTCTTCCAGGCATGATCTGTACTTGCACTAAGTTATGGAATTAACTGTATAGTTTTCATTTTCACTATATCTGGTTGCTTGCTCACAGAAATTGCATCTTTGTGTGACAGAACTTTCCTTAGAACTACTTTAGACATATGTAGACTGGTTGCAGGAAATGTTTACATCTTTATTTTATATCTTTCTTCCATTCATTGTCAATTTTTTATTGTTTGTGTGGCTTTCCACCTAAGAGGGGTTTTTCCTCCTGAAAATTATCTGGAGGTCTTAAACAGGAGATTTATATATACCAGTGTGTACTTGTGACACACATATTGCTATACCAAGCTGCTAATTTTTAGAATACACATACTTGGCATGGCACTGAACATATAAATTCTTCCCATGGTCCAGTGTTTCTTCAAGGACCTCACAGAGTTTTCCTTTGATTGAAAATGATAGCCTGGGAAACAGCCTTTTAAACTAGATTAATAAGAAGAAAATGCTAGTTATATGTAGCTAATTGAAGAAGACTGCATCATCTTAAATATTCTTCTCCTGCCCACAGTGCCTCTTTTATTGCAGACAGGTTTTATATATATTTTAAGAAAAAAATACCTGCAAGCAGTAATACATATTGTTAAGGTTTGAGAAATGTCAGATGCATAAATAGGTCAAAATTCTCCTAGTAATAGTTGCCTGTAATAATACATTTGGAATATTCACATGTCTCAAAGCCACCCTGACAACCCATGCTGAGCTGATTCTGCAAACAATATATGGTGCACCTTTTGGGTTGTTCATCCTCTCCTTCCTCTCTTCCCCTTCACTTCCATGAATGTGGAAAGTGGAAGCCTTGTCTAGGGCACTTTTCCAGGGGATACATGCCAAGATGTAGCAGGCACCTGTCTTGGACATGACCTCTAGGAGGCTCCATATAAGAATATCCCTCTTTGGCTTATCTTGACAGCTGTCAAAATGCAAGTTATCAAGACAAAATAAAGACACAAGTGAACTTTGTTCACAAAAAGGATATAGTGTGATCTATACTGCTTTTGCAGCAAGTTTGCAGCATCTTTCTCTTACCCTGATAGTGCCAAGGGTGATACACATTTTGCAGTTTTTCATGAAACTATAGGTGCTTGGGAAAGTGCAGAAGTCCATCCCAGCCCTTTTTCTGGGTCTGCTTTAGAAAGGATGTGGCAGGCCAATGAGTGATTTTGACAGGGACATATGGCCATAAGAAAATAACATTCTAAAAACTTCCTCCATATTTAAGGAGACTCTATTTTTATCTTCCTAGTGGATTAAAATCTGCAGTAATAAAGTTGTAATTTGCCTCATATATCTGCAGAACGGAGAAATTGTCTACCTATAGACCTTTGGCAATAATAAACTTATAATAGGGTAGAATATACCTTGTTTAACCCAGGAATTACAGAAATGTATGGAGTATATGAACCATTTTAATTAACATCCTAAGAATGCTCTGTTCCTGGATGGGTTTCTGATGTGTGAACCTAGACTCCTGGGCCTGTTTATGGGCTAACCCAACATTGCCCATGGTTTATTGTTGAAGTATGGGTTATACCTGAACAGCATATTGCTTCAGGATTTGCACATCACGAAACAACCCAAGAATGGTTTGTTCCTCAGAAGTGAAAATGGGTTATGTGCTCTACTCATTTCCACATTCCATGGGTTTAACAACCCTGAAATTGCTGCTGTGAAATGTGGTCATGTCCAATGCATGGCCAGTCATCTTCATGGCTGTGTGGAAGTCTACTTCTCCCCCAGTTCCAGTTTAGCACGCTAAGCACTGTGTTGTCATAGTTACTCTTTTCATTTCATATTTTCCTGTAGGTTTTGTGATTTGTTTGCTGCTGTGTCATTTTCACTTGTTAACTACTTTGACTTATATTTAAAGTAAGCTGGCCAGCTTAGTCCATGTGAATCAATATCTGGTATGATTGTGAATTTCAGAGCCAGGCATTTATATATATATATATATATATTCTTGTTTTACAGGTATGAACCACGTATAAAAAGAAGATAGTTGTGCCTTGAACTAGATAAATAACAGAAGAAAATATTAGCTTACCTGTATGTTAGCAATATATTGCAGAATCAAATAATTAATATCACATTGATCACAGCTCCTGAGAACCTAATTTTCATGCCAAAGAAAGGACATCTGCAGCCTCAGCACTTAATAGTGTTTCAAACTAGTTGCACCTAGTGCTGGATCAAAAATTTATCTGACCACAGTTACATAAGTAATCCAGGAGGGCTTCTTAATGCTTGCTTTGTAAAATCCAAGCCAAAGAGAAAACTAAGCCCCTGTCATCCATGTATACCCACATATCTTCAAGCCCCCTCCAACTCTCTTCCTTTTTTCTGTTCTGCTGGGAGAAGAGAAGAATCCAACCCCCCCAAAAATGATTGGCACTCTCTGGTGCCTGCAGTCCTGATGTACAGTGTGGGAAATATAATTTTCTTAGCTTTCTAGCTTATGTCAGTGGCATTGCAAAAATGATACTATACAGCTTTCTTGTGCAGTGCAGCTCTCATGCAAGAGATTGGAGAGGGAAGCATTTCCCATCATCACTGCCTATTGGAGCAGCAAGAAAATTAAGTAGAGCCAGGTGTGAGTAGTAGTGGGGATAACTTAATGCCCATGTGAGCATTAGAATTTGTGGCATAAGGGATGCTATAGGGTGCAAAATTGCCCTGGAATTTGTTTGAAAGAGTCCGGCTGTCTCTTCAGAGTTTTGGGAAACATTCCAGTGGAGGTGATTTTAAATCCCAATTCTGAACTTAGTTTCCAACCACTAAGTACAGCCCATAATTTAAAACCATTTCAACCTGCATTTTAATAGCATTTTTGTACTTCTATATCATTTTTTCAAAAAGGAATTAGTAGAAAATCACACTGTTTCTTTTTAAAGAATACGTATTTTAGCTGTTTTGAGATTTGATTTATAGAATGAGAAGCATCATCATTTTACAAAGGGTTGACATGGAATTTGTAACATGGATCCAGTACCATTGATTTCTGTACCATTTTGCACCTCTCAGACTGATTTTGGTTTGTACTTTTAGTAAATTAAACTTCTTTAGATTCTAGAATTCTGATGAATGGGCAGTATTTATTTGGTTCTCATAAATTTGTTCCTAACAAACTCAAGGGGACTGCTGATTGATTGAAGAAGAATCAGTAGAATATATGCATCGTGCTCTTATTTTGTGGGATTCCATGTTTGTCTTTGATCAGTATGTTGCACCCTTCAGTAGGCCCAGATCTCTCATATGTGTATAACTTCTAAGGAACATCAAAGAGATGCTTTTCCTTCATTGCATCAGTTTAAGAAACCTTGGTATACACCCCATGTTTATATCACTGTGATTTTGGCTCAGATCATGACTTTCCTGTTGCATTAGCCACATTGCAAAATCTGCTTATGTAGAATCCTTTCAAAGAAAACCCTTGCCTTTTTTTTAGCCACAATGTAATATCTACTGATGTCCCAGATCAAATGCATGCAAAATTTTATATGTACATCTGCTGCTAACATTAAAAAAAATAGAATTTGTTTGTAGCTCTTGTTTTGAATATAAACAAAAGCAAGCAATAGGATGGGGTATTCATACATGTAATGAATGAATGAATGTGTGTGAGCAAAAAAGCAGCAGGAGCTGTTATACAATGCATGACTAGGTCATGGTATTTAGAAATAGTACCCTACTCAATTTCTATTACAGTACCCTTCTTCCCAGTCATTATCTCACTCATCAGCCAATTTCTAATTGGAAATAGAACACATCAAGAAACTTTAGACAAAATAAGCCAGATAAATTGTATTGAGTTGCATAATTTATTAGCACAGCATTCCTTGCAGAAATGGCTAAATTTCTGCCAGTTTCTCAATGGCATGCATAGCACCCTGCATGTGACCTTGACCCACTGAAAGAAGGGCTGGAACCATATTCAAGTCTAGGAAGCCATATACTCTCATATGTATTGGCAGATAGCTGATTTCAAAGTAATTAAAAGTAACCATTACTAGCAAATTTCAGCCATCAGCAGAAAATTTGGGGCCCCATGCCAGTGAAGTTTTCAAAGCTGATTCAGATTAGAAGTGTTACGTGGTACAGACCTCTATGTGGCTGCATTCCCTATGAATATGTATAGAAAATTATTTGAATGAATCCCCTTGGCAAGATTCCTGTATCTTTTGAATTAGTTCTTCATCTGCAATGCTAATGCTTACTCATTTGATTTTAAGTCTTTTTTTATTGTTTTGGACAAGCACTTCTGATAAGCTTAATAAGGCTGAGCATTTGAATTGTGAAAACAAGGTATCATTCAATAGGCATTGCCATCTTAGATATTTTTATTATGCATTAGGGAGTTCGTTTTGTTAGACATTAAGGCTGTATTCCAATAGTATGCACACCCGAGAGTCAGCACAACTCAGTGGGACTTGCTTCAGAGGAGGCAGATCTAGGATTGAACTTTAAATCCGTTAGCAGTGTATACAGTTTATTGCATATGAGATTAATATTCTTGTCCAGCATAATGAAGCCTCTTTTCATTCCTTCACCTCAAGTATCTCGTGTGCAGGAAGTAAAGCCCAAGGTGCATGCTGGAAACTAGGGTATAGCTATCCTGTTATAAGACCCTGTAACTAATATCAAAAAGTTAAGCTGAGTTAAATTGTTCTTTCTGACATTAGGACTGATTATTTTTTTATAATGATGTTGAAGCAGGCATCAGGAAATTCTCCATTTATTCTTAGGTGGTACAGCTATACTAAATGGGGAAAAAGAAAAATCAGTACTTGTATCAGCTTTGGGACTTGGGTATCTAATCATATGAACTAAGAGAAGGGAAAATTCTTGAACCAAACACAGTCAAAACAGGTGGGAAATACTTTATCCTGTTAATATTGAAGCAAATTACATGTTGTTTAAAACCCTCTTCACAATTTTGAGTTAGAGAACCATTAAATGTTCTCTTAAAATGTGTATATAAGTTGCATAACCATTGTTGCTGGAGATAGCTTTCTATCCAAGATTATTTGATCTAGAGAGTTTAAAGATGTCATTTTGCCCTTCAGGTATAATTGGGTCTCAAGACACATGTGTAACTTCCATTATAACACAAATTAATGCTAGAGGATCGCCTCTAAGGAATTAATTGCAATTAGAAAAAGGAACATCATTCTGCAATGACATCTAAAAATATCGTGGGCAATTGACAGCTTTTCTGACTAATTTTCATCTGCATAAAAATGCTTCAATAATTCCTTGTTACTTCAACCAGTTAAAAAAAAGTGGAGCCTTGTCTCAATGTTTATTCAAAATGTAGTTCTTTAAAATTAGTAGTAGTTTAATAACTTGCACTCAGCATGTTAATATTATGGTGCAACTCAGCAAAGGAGAGCTTGGAATTAGTGTCTAGATGGTGCTCAAGCCTGGGAAGTACCAACACAAGAGGTTAGTGAAACTCATGCAACAAAATTCCTTCAGCTGCTTTAATGAATTGCAAAACAGAAAATGGCACAAACTCCTCTCATACCATGTACTTTATTTCTGAATGTTAGTCCCTTTGTTTCACTCACAGCTTCATCATAAAGTCCTACATAGGTTGGACATGCCAACATTGTGTCAGTGTAGCATTACATACAGTATCCCTATGCTGCAACACAGATTTGCTGATGTAAATTTTTATTAAATATCTTTAACTAAATGGGACAAGTAGCTACAAGTACATTTTGTTCGTTATGGGATTATGCTAGGCCATTTTATATGATCTGCCATGATTCATGGCACGTTTATGCAGAGTATTGATACCTGCTGAAGAAATTGTACGACATACTCAGCTTTGCTAAGGAATTAAACATGGGAGTCATGGGAGTCTCACATATTGCTCCTTGAACCACATCCTTGAGGATACCATTGATGATCAGGTTTGCAAAATCCAAAATAATGTATTTTTCTTTTTCTATTAGGATGCATCAAGTCATAGGAGCTTGGGCATAATACTAGAATGACATATAACCACAATAGGGACTTGGAAATAAACTGCTACTTGCATTTGCACAGAGACTTAAAGAGATTTTGTACATTTAAGTGGCACTCTAGTTTTTTGCCAGTCCAGTCTTGATCTCAAATCTAGCTGTGATCTGGTTGAACATTCACAACCACCTCATTGAAATGACAAAGGATCACTACCTTAAATGAAAAGGGAATGTTGTGACTGCTTCATGTTGAATTGTTTTAACATTATTTAATTTAGTAACATAACTGGAACCAATCAAAGAAGCAGTTTGTGGCCTTAAAATATACCATGGCTATGATCAAGATGCAGACATGCTTTGGGGCTCCTTTAAACATATGTACAACAACCAAATCTCAAATGGGTTTTTAAACTGCCCATTTAAAAAGTGATCTGCTTCTTTTCTGCAAACAAAATTTTCACTGAGTTCTTGTTTGTGCACAAAATCTGTTTTGTATAGTGAATGGCCTCTTTGGCTTAAAATGAATTTGACTTTGGTTTTCATCTAAGATTGAAAACCTGAGCTTATAAACATACTTTTAAAGGTTGTGCCTTAACTTCAACTGATAGGCACAAAGTATAGGCACTCACACTGGGGAAGTGTGTGACAGAAAAGGCAGCTTTTATTTCTAATCTGTTGGCAAACCCTAAAGTTTCCTATATGAACTGGGTTTTTGGTTGTACCCTTCATCCCTGAAATGGAAAGCAGGCAGATTTACAAAAGGGAAAAAAGGGACTTCAGGCATATGGAAAAGCAGGTTGCTTACCTGTAACTGATGTTCTTCGAGTGGCCATCTGTGCATCACACATATGGGTTGCTGCGCCTGCACAGTGCCTAAGCCAGAAGATTAGAAAGCTAACGGTTTTTGGCGGGAAAACTCTGCTCCCCTCCACCTTTGTGGTATAAATAGAGCGGAGTGTCCGCCATTTTGCTCAGTCTTGAAGACTGCACATTCATCCTCTAGAGGTTAAAAATAAAGTAATGATAAGACACCATTATATTCCCACGGTACCGATGTGAATTATAGTACGGTACCGAGAACAATCTCTAGTCAGCGATATAACCTCCCGGTACCGATGCCATTAATATTTCGGTACCGAAAAAAAAAAAAAAAAAACACCCAGCGACATAATCCAAATGGTACCAATACAAATTATAGTATGGTACCGAGAAAAAACACGATATCCACTCACTGACACTGAGTGGGGCCGGCGGGTGGGTTGTGTGGATGCACAGATGGCCACTCGAAGAACATCAGTTACAGGTAAGCAACCTGCTTTTCTTCGTCGTGGCCTCTGTGCATCACACATATGGGTCATTCGCAAGCTTACCAGACTCGGCGGAGGGAGGTGTCTTCATCGAAGAACGGATAAGAGAACAGCTCTACCAAAAGAGCAATCCCATCTGGCATGTACATCAAGCCGATAATGCTTGGCGAAAGTACATGGACCAGCCCAGTGTCTTGCAACGGAAACCCTGCGGCAAAAGCGGACGAGGTCGCTACTGCTCGTGTAGAATGGCCAGTTGGAGAGACAGGTAAGTCTATTTTCGATAGCTGATAAGCCAGGACAATAGTCTGGGTGACCCAATTAGAGAGTCTCTGAGATGATACTGGTGATCCCTTTGTTTGCTCGGAGTATTTAACAAAAAGTCTATTAGTAGTACGAAAAGATTCAGTGCGGGATCTGTAAAAGGCCAAGCAGCGGCGAACATCAAGTGTGTGTAAAGCACGTTCTATCAGGGTCGACGGCGACAGAAAGAAAGCCGGTAGAATGATATCCTGATTCAGGTGGAACGATGTGGCCACCTTGGGTAAAAAGGAGAAATCCATCCGAAGGACAACTTTTTCCTTATGGAAGTTCAGAAATGGTGGGTCTATGCGGAGAGCACAAAGCTCGCTAGCTCTTCGTGCTGATGTAACCGCTACTAGAAAGGCAGTTTTCCATGACACCAGGCGTAAGTCCGCAGTTGCTAAAGGCTCGAACGGTGGTTTGGTAAGCGCTTGGAGTACTACAGAAAGACTCCACGTCAGCATGGCAGGGCGAATAGACGGATGTAAATTTTGTAGTCC